TGCCGGCCGCGGGGTCGGCCACTTTGAAGTGTCCCCAAGCCGCTTCGCGCAGCGCCCTGAACCCAGGCAGTGCCCTCTGTCTCCGTGGGAGGGACCATGTATAGGCTGTTCCCCAAAATGTATACACACACCTTTCAATATGTATGTACTAGAGGCCCGGTGCACAAAATTCGTGCACAGGGCAGCGGGGGGTATTCCTCAGCCCGGCCTGTACCCTCTCTAATCCAGGACCCCTCAGGGGAGGTCCAACTTGCAATCTGGGACCGTTGGCTCCTAACTGCTCACCTGCCTGCCAGCCTGATCGCCCCCTAACTGCCCTCCCCTGCTGGCCTGATCACCCCGCTCTCCCCTGCCGGCCTGATCGCCCCCCAACTGCTCTCCCCTGCCGGCCTGATCGCCCCCCAACTGCTCTCCCCTGCCGGCCTGATCGCCCCCCAACTGCTCTCCCCTGCCGGCCTGATCACCCCTAACTGCCTCTGCCTCGGCCCCCACCACTGTGGCTCTGTCCAGAAGGACATCCGGAAGATGTCCGGTCTAATTAGCATATTACCCTTTTATTACTATGGATTTGTATTGATTTCAGAGAATAAGAGAGAGGGAGAGAGGGATAGAAACATAGATGATATCACGCGTCGGCTGCCTCCTCACGCCCCCTCCCGGGGATGGAGCCCACAACCCGGGCATCTGTCCTGCAGGCGGACAACCATTCCCGGCCGCTCCCATGCGGTCCCCTAACCTCCTTCTAGGAGCTTCTAACACCTTCCACACCGACCCTCCCCACCGCAGCCCTTTCCTTTCCTCTGAGAAATGGCCACCTCCTGGCAGATTTCGAATCCTCCCTCCGTCTCCCGTCCCCGGATTCTGAGAACAACCTCCAGGGGATGGATGGACAGCAGGTTGCACGGGGTGGCCCTGACCCGGGGCCGGCTCCATCGCGATCCCTGTCCATCACAGGCTGGTCCCTGAGACCGCGCTTACAGACGAGACGAGACGCAGGTCACCTGGCACCAGCCTTCCCCACACCAGGCCGCCTACACCCCCTGCCCAGAAGGCCCCCCACGGCGCCCGGTCCCCCCGCCTCACCGGCCCCACCTTCCCACCCCGACAGGTCCTGTCCTCCCCAAAGTGCTGGCCACCCCCCAGGACCTGTCCGCCTCCTTCGCCGTCCGGGACGGGAACGTCACTGGCACTTCCCCAG